AGGATCCTCAGGGTGGAAGGAGGAAAAGAACTAACTCCCACAGCTTGTCCTTTGGCCTCCATATGTACACACACACACACACACACACACACACACACACACACACACACACACACACAAATAAATAAATGGAATGAAGTTTGGAGGCCAAGAAGCCCAGATCATCTCCAGGCTCCTTGTAGAGGAGGCCCTTTCTGGGGTGTCTCTTATTTATATTCACCCCACAGTTCCCTGCTCCATAGCCAGACAAAGGTCTTCAGGTCAGGACCTCTGTGTCCAGGTGATGCCAGCAAAGCAGGCTTGGAGGAGCACTCTTCTGCCTTGTCACTCAACCTGGGGGCTCCTGTGATGCTCAGGTTGTCTCCTAGCAAAAGCATGCTCCTGATGAGGACAAGCTCTGCAAGTCCTTCTTAACACAGCTATTCCTTTCTCCCAGGCTGGGACACAGGGGCAAAAAGAGGCAGGGATGCAGAGAAACCACAGGACAAGTGGAAGAAAGCTGGCTACCAGGAGTCCTGGGTCCAGACTGGTGTGACAACCCAGGCATCTCTAAGTCCTTCCCCTAGACAATGCATTAACTGTTGTCAGTGTCTCAGATTCCTCACAGGGCAGTGGGTACAACTGGGTATAGTCTAAGCAGAAAGGATGGGTGGCAGTCAGGGGTCAGCCATGGACAGTGTGGGCACCTAGCTTGCGCTGCAACTATTCCAACAGCCCACCCAGCCCTGTGTCTGCCTCTTGCTGAGACCTGGCTCCAAAGGGAAGGTGCCCTGTGCGGAGGCAAAAACAGCAGAAAGACAGAATGGAGAGGGATAGGAGACTTAAGGAAGGAGGGAAAGGGAGGAAAGAGCAATAACACAAAGTGTGTGGTTACCAGGCCAGCAAATAGACATCAAGCCTCTGACTTGCTTATTCCAGGGATACAGCCCTGAGCAATCCCTCTGGGTCTCCTGGGGGACTATGAGGTAACCCCTGTCAACTTCCCATGGGGTAAATGGGAGGCAGTAGTCAGGGGAGAGGGACCCACAACACTGGTTGCAAAAAGACAGTCCATGGCAACTGTAGAGGATGCAGGGTGAGGCCGTACAATAGGGATCCTCCTGCTCTTATAAGTTAGGGATGGCCAGATCCTTTCTCTAGCAATATTCTCTTTTCAGGCCATGAACATGTGACAGCTGGGTAGGACAGAGCTCCAGTGAGGCTAGTCTGGCCTCTGCAGAGGGCGAAAGCTTGTGCCAAGGAACAGTAGGCTCTGCACTTTCAAACTTCAAACTCTCATTCTTTTCTTGGAACAAAGTACTTGCCCCCAAATTATTCTTGAGCAGGACAAGCCTACTCCCACTGTTCTAAGAAGTTAGCCTCAGGGACAGTGTTCTGTGACTCTGCTGCCTGCCTACCCTACCTAGGGCCACCTCGGCCCTATAAAAGCTGGCTGGGAATGCAGCTCAGGTGGTAGTGTGCCTAGCATGCATGACGCTCTGGTGTGGTGGTACATGCCTGCAATCCTAGTTCTCAGGACCAGCTTAAGACCATCCGAGGGTGCTCGCTTCAGCAGCATACAAACTAAACTTGGAACAATGCACAGTGGATTAGCGTGGCCCCTGTGCAAGGATGACACATGGATTCATTAAGTGTCCCATTTTTTCCCCCATTGAGACAGAGTTTCGCTGGCTATCCTGAAACTCACTCCAGGCTGGCCTCAAATTCACAGAGATCCACCTGCCTTTGCCTCCTGAGTCCTGGGATTAAAGGTGTGTGCCACTACTGCCTGGCAAGTGTCTCACATTTTTTAATAGAAGTATGTACCTTACAAAAACATCTGCCCCTGGTAATGCTGGCAGATGCAGTTCGGGTCCATTCTCATCCCTATGGAAACAGCCTCTTCCCTGCTGAAGACTTCCCTACTCCTTTCCCCATACAGTCTCTCTTCCTTAAATAGAATTCATTGTGGATTTTTTTCCCCCTTGACATCTGTAAAAATTATTTACGATAAAAAACACATTCAGAGTGGGACCAACAAAATAACCCACAGAGGAAAAGATAGAGCAACAGTTATGCTGACAGACAGCGCGTGTATTTGCAGGCCTCACAGGGAGAGCTTGTGTTAGCTGGAGTGATTCTCATCATCTGACAAGGATTTCATCAGGAAAGCTTTCTGCCAAACCTAAAGCAGAATGTACTGAGCAACGAGGACAGAAACAGATCCTAAAAGGGGTTCCAGCGGCAGTTCTCGAGGGGCGCTTCATGTAGAGTAATGGGGACGGGAAGGAGAAGAGAGCTCAGACAACCAAGCCTGGAGCAGGATGTCAAGACAGTGATGGGAGCTCTAAAGGAAGAAGCTCTACCTTGTCCCCAGGTGTCCCATGTCACCTGGAACTGAGCTCCCGCCTATCGTCAGGACAGAGGTGGGAAGGGCAGCCACCTGCCATCAGCCCCAACAGAGACAACATGCCTCTAACCTGCCACCCATCTCACACCACTTTAGCTTAGATTAAAAACTTCCCCTGAAACTAGAAAAAGCCATCCTTGAGTGAGGAAACCCAGACCCAGAATGACAAATACAATATGTACTCACTCATAAGTGAGTATTAGACATAAGGCAAAGGACAACCATCCTACAGGCCACAGCCCCAGACAGCCTAGGTAACAAAGAGGACCCCAAGAGAGACATACATGGATCTGCCGAGGAAAGGGACAAAGACAAGATCTCCTGAGTAAGTTGGGAGCATGGGTGACAGAGGGGAGGTTGAAGGGGAGAGGGGAGGAGGGAAGGGGAGTGAGAAAAAAAATGTAAAAAAATATTAAAATTAAAAAATAATTATAAAAAGCACTTCCTTCTGGGAGCTGGAGAGATGGCTCAGCAATTAGGAGGATTTGTTGCTCTAGTAGAGGATCAGGGTTCAGTTCCCAGCACCCATCCACATGGTGATTCACGACCATCCATAACACTAGTTCCGGGGGATCTGATGTCCTCCTCTGCCCTCCTTGGGCACTGCACACATGAGGTGCAGGGACACACATGCAAATGAAATACTCAGACATGTAAAACAAAAGTAGTAAACCTAAAACAACTGCTTCAGGAGAGCCGTCTGGCATGAAGCCTGTAACTTCAGTGCTGGGGAGAAGGCACTGCTAGGGTGAGCAAGGCAGCCACTGTGAAGCCGAGTCCTCAGGGCAGGGTAGGTACTCAGCTTCCTGCACTGTTGGGTCAAGCAACTTAGTTCAGGTAGACATGGAGGTGTCTGTGTATATGGGGGGGCCTTAGAGAGAGATCAGAGGATCAAACCTCCCCCCGCCCATATGCTACTTTGACATAGGATTATTTTTGCTTTTTGTATTTTTGTTTGTTTTAAAGACAGGGTTTCCCTGGCTGTCCTGGAATTGTCTCTGTAGACCAGGCTGGCCTTGAACTCAGAGAACCACCTGCCTCTGCCTCTGGAGTGCTGGGATTAAAGGCGTTCATCACCATGCCTGACTGATACAGGATTCTTTTGAGTTAAAGACAACAGAGAAATACCAGACAGTGTGTGTGTGGAGAAGCAGGAGACATCACCCTTCATAAAGAGAAAGTGAGCCGGGCATAGTGGTTCATGCCTGTAATCCCAGCCCTCAGGAGGCTGAGGTAGGAGGGTTGCTATGAGCTCAAGCCTAGTTTAGGCTACAGTAAGACTTCATCTCAAAAAAAGAAGAGAGAAAAATAAAAAGTAAAAAAATAAATCAAAAAAGAGGAAGAGGAGGAGGAGGAGGAGGGTAGCGACAACATGAATTTGTAAATTTGTGCCAGGAAGAGAATAGCAAGGATATGGATCGCCAGCCTTGGCTACAAAGCAAGGTCC